ATAGTCACCACTTACCTCATCCACTAATGGAATTCTCTGAGTCGCCGCCCTTATATGGCAAATTGATGATTTTCATTTTTGGTAGATATCTAATATAAAAAAATAGGTTTACCCTGCAGGCCATCCCTGGAACTTCCCGCTAATTTCAACATCAAAGCGCTTTTGATGTGATTTACGGCAATCGACGCAAATTTTTCAGTTTAAAAAAAAGCCTATTACAAAAAAAAGTTGATTTCACGGAAAGTCTTCAAGTTATTTTGATAAAAGACTTTTTCGAGATTTCTTTCGTGAACGATTTTTTAATCAAAAATAAAGCTGCCTCCAAAAACTAATCAAATAGATACATTAAAATCTTCGTCCACTGATTTTCCACTCTAATGGTAGTTTTTCTTCAAAATTATATAAAACGTAGCCGGAAGTATTAACTAAATAAAAACATTAAAAATAATCATATATATAACGGTTCGGACGTTACCAAGAAATCGGTAAACAAACATAATAAAACACGCGTCGAATATAGAACCTTTTCGAACTTAAACTCTATTAAAATTAAAAAAAAAAGTTTTTTTTAATTTTAACAGAGTTATTAAGAACAAAAAAATCGTTGAGATATTACACATTTAGAATGGTTTAGAACGTATTTAAAGTACGAGATAAATTTTCAGCTAATGTCACCGCCTGCAACGCCCAGTCTGATTGTCGACGGTGAGTTAGCACTCATTCAGCTTGGCTTTGCAATTATTCAAATGCGCGCCCGTAGCAAATGCTAATACATATTTAATTGTGCACACCCTGAATATTTTATAAGGTTAACAACTGGCTACGGTGTACAATTTCATAAAATCTCAAAAAATAACTCGCACCAACCCACACAATGCCTACCTTCCGTCTAATTCTGGGGGTCGGAAAAAATCCCTTCAAACCATATCCATAAAGGTTAAAACCGCATAATTGTTTCGGTTCGGTTATTTTACTTTTTTGGGTCTGTGGTACGTGTAATTTGTTGTGTTTTGATTGTGATGATGCGTAATTGGCGGGTGGTGCGATCATTACGTCTGACCCGGGACGTTCCTGGAATGAAGGTCGTCGCGCTTAGAGATGGGCGGTGTACTGTAGTATTGAGATCTGAGAACAAAGATCGAGATCAGAAGATTTTAAATCTTATATGTATTATCTTTAATACGTTGCTTTGCCTTTCTGTTGAAATGGTTTAGGTTTTTGGGTACGAAGAAAGTTTTTAATACAAGTAATAATAGAAACGAACACAGGGTTCGCCTGATTACTGTCGTAGTCATCATCGAGCTTGGCCAGATCGGAAGACCAAATCTGGACAAATTTCGAAAATATCGTAATTTTATGGATGTTGTCGGGCGAAATAAATATTTTAAAAAATATTTTTAAATTAAGAGGCTACAAAAAAACAGCATTGTTAACTCATAACCAATTTAAGTACTTTTTAAGTTGCCAAGTGTATTCGGCATTGGAGTTTAGTAGAATCTACCAATTTGTATCCTTTATTTGTATTCAGAAAATATTTAAAATTCAAACAATTTACTCCAAAGTTCAGTCTTATTACTCACTCATCTTTTATTATATCAAAGGCCATACTTCAAATTTCCGAGTAGCGGTTTGCCTGGAGTTTTTGAGTATGTCGGAAGTCTGAACATCATTTAAAATGTCGGGAGAATCCAGACGAATCCCGAGCATCTGGCAACCCTATCTACAGTATGCCTCTACCGCGTATAAACTTTTTAACTACTTCGTGGGATTTATTTCCTGTTTTGAGTCCATCTGTTTTAGAACTACCCTCTTACCTATTTCGGCAATATCACTGTGTGCAATGATGTGTTTCAGTATGAAGGGTATAAAGAGCGAGTAGTTCTCAGAGGTGACAACGCATCTGTAGCCTTCTTTCCAGAACTTCCAGTAGCTAGCACCTTCAGGTGAACTGTAAGTACGTTTTTTTTCAAATAAGGTAAGGGTGACAAACGAGCACACAGTCCACCTGATGGTAAGTGGATGCCGTGACCCATAGATATCTACATTTAACGTCGATTAAGAATCAAAATGTGGATGCGTTTTCACCCATGAGGACTAAGATGGAATGCCTCGATTCAAGTAAAACAATTCTCCGGTTCTCTACACTCACCATACGAAACCAGCAACATTAAGCTGTTATTTTACTCTGGTATTCTGTAAGAGTGTGGTCCTTTCCCAGTCGAGCCGGCCCATGCATGTTACAACTATTATAGCTGCAGCGTGGCTCTTAAAAACAGTCTTCAGTTATTTTAATGTCATTGTTAATTTATTATAAAAATTCTTTTAGATTACAATTCTTATTGAAAGTCATTTAGGAAAGATGTATATATTTATATTAATGCATATCAATTTCGGTTAAGTCTTTTAAGGCTGTTCTTAAAACATCACTACTCTTGCATCCTTTTAGTTGGACAGGTGAAGAGGAGGGGTTCCGGGCTCCCAGATTTTTTTGTGAAATTGATAACTACGGGTAGGTTATTTCGGGAAAACAAAAAATGAATGCAGGGTTTGAGAAATAAAAGCACGTTTGTTTTTGATGTGTTGAGGTCGGCAGATAATGCTATACCTGCATGTATATGCTATAATGCTATATATGATAACTTTCTTGCAGATCGGAGCATCAAGGTCGTTGTAGACGGTGCAAGCTCCGATTGCAAGCCTATTAATGCTGGTGTTCCACAGGGCTGCGTGCTATCGCCAACGCTGTTTCTTCTGCATATCAATGACATGTTGCATACCCGTAACATTCATTGCTATGCAGATGACAGCACTGGTGATGCTCTTTACACCGGCCGAGCCAATATTTCTCGGGAAAACGTCTCCGAGTGCCGGGACAAACTTGTGTCTGAAGTCGAGTCTCTGCTGGACAGAGTCTCGGATTGGGGGCGACTAAATCTAGTCCAGTTTAACCCCCAGAAGACACAAGTTTGCGCGTTAACCGCTAAAAAGAACCCCTTTGTCGTATCCCCTCAGTTTCAAGGCACTCCCCTTGTTGCCTCAGTCAGTATCGGAATCCTCGGCGTCGACATATCGAGTGACGTGCAGTTTCGTGGTCACTTGGAAGGGAAGGCCAAATTGGCCTCTAAAAAGCTTGGCGTGCTCAGCAGAGCGGGACAGTATTTCATGCCGGCACACCGCCTGCAACTTTATAAGGCGCAGGTTCGGCCGCACATGGAATACTGTTCCCATCTCTGGGCTGGGGCTCCCCAGTACCAGCTTCTTCCACTTGACCGCATCCAGCGCAGAGCGGCTCGAATCGTCGACGACCGAGTGCTTTCCGATCGGCTCGATTCACTGGCGCTGCGAAGAGATGTTGCATCTCTTTGCGTATTTTATCGCATCTATCACGGGGAGTGCTCTGAGGAATTGTTCGGATTAATCCCAGCCGCCAAATTTCGTGAACGCACTACACGTCAAACGTCCCGATACCATCCACACCATCTGGATGCTTGGCGGTCCACCACTGTACGTTTCACAAGGAGTTTTCTTCCACGTACAACCTCTCTGTGGAATAGTTTACCACCGGCGATTTTTCCGGACCGATACGACCTGGGGACCTTCAAGAAAAGAGCTTACTCCTTTCTAAAGGGCCGGCAACGCACCCGCAATTCTCCTGGTGTTGCGGTTGATCATGGGCGGCGGTAGTCACTTAACATCAGGTGAGCCGCATGCTCGTTTGCCCCTTCTTCTATAAAAAAAAATTAATAAATAATGGTAGCATATTTTCCAAAGTATTTTTATGAAAACTATGTAATTGAAATTTGAAATTTGTTGAAATGAGCTCAAGCTAAATTTTACAAATTTGAAATTGTCCGCTTGATCTCTGTTTTCTGTGATGTTAGTGCTATTAGCCAGTTGGCCCTTACAGCTTCATCGGACTTAAGGTTCGCGCTGAGTCTGGGCCTGAATGAAATGAGGGACTGATAATTATTATGATTATGATGGTGGTGATGATTATGCCGATTATGTCCGAACGTTCTTTTTGCGTTACCCTGTTCATCTATATGTAAATCAATTAACAGATGAGTTATCTGACCGCCGTCCGAGCAGGAGTGAAGAACCCTTGAGTGATTAGTGATAGGTACGCGAGCATACCGAGTTTTATTTTTAAATGGTAATTTACCACGTGCTCGGCGGTAAAGGAGAACATCTAAATGAACCTGCATATCTAATAATTCAAAAACATTTCGAGGAGAGGGAAAGTTCGCCTATTAACTCTTTCAGACACTGAATGGTAGGTATTTGTTTGGTATTTATAGAGTATCTTGCCATAATAGTACAGTAGGAGCTAATATGATTAAATTTTAAAATATTACAATATATTTTATAATTTAAATCACATAAGTAGTGTACGAATGAGGTTTGCTTCATTAGTCGGTCATCAGAGTCGTGTTAAACAGCAAGGTGGCAGAAGCGGTATATTTTTAAAGACAATTGAAGTATCCCACTTGTCAAGATCATCACATTTCATATTAATTTACCTCCATCTGATTAGAATGTGGCTGTCTTCAAGGAAATACTTAATAGTGAAGAGTGACAGGCTTTTGTTAAGCTAAGTCAGTGCGCTTTACTATCTTCAACTGCATCACCGCTTACCATCAGGTGGCATAGATGATGATGATGATGAAACTATTGCAAGTCATTGTTTGACTGATGTCAAGTTGCAGTTCTACTTGCAGTTTCATCATCTTCATTATTACAACTCTTCATAAGTTCGAGGCTAAACGTAGTAGTTCCAAGGAATTATTTTTAAGACAGTACACAAAAGACATAAAATCGCATTAACAAAATTACATTCGAAAAAGGTCTGTATGAAGTAAGATTTAGTGTACTGATTTCATAAAGGTCATATGAATCGCCGTCCCTTTAATAGTGATATTTAACTTGTACTTTATGAAATTAACATTTGGCGGTTTTAAATCTGACGCCTAGACGGAAATACAGTCTACGGTTGTAAAGATTCAATAGCCCTTCAACTCCACTGAAGATATTGCGTAATGATATAAGTTGGCGATGTTTGATGATGCGTCTAGTATGTCATTAACCTGAGGAAAGAAGCCGAGATGCGTTTGAGGCTTTTTTTCCATGGCAGCGTCACCTTGGCGCTCTTTCTCAGAAGCCCTGATTGCCGTCATTACGTGCAGGCAAATGTCAACTGATGGTCTCAGCTCGGAGTCAAGGTCCGAGTTTACATTGTTCATGTTGTGTTAACGTTGATTTTTTTTTAAGGTTTATTGTTTATTTGTGTCACTTCTTTTCGCTTTATTGTCTATTGTTCACTGATTGTCTAATTGTCTCCAATTAAAGCGATTTCCTGTAAAGTTCTATTGTTGCAATTAAAACGGAAATTGTATTGAGTATATTATAGATATTTATTTCTAAAATATAATATGCAACTTTTTATGACATAATGTAACGACCAAGTTATATGGTACATGATAATATGTCATAACATTTTCTACGTTAATTCTGCCAATATTAATTATCAATGAATACGTACTAGTAATATAGACATATCTTAGATTAGGCACAAAGTGAATTTACAAACTTTATCTCCTTACCCAACTCAGCTGCACGCAGGGCTCACTGCTTGCTAACTGTCGAATTGCTGCATTACAAGCGAATAGACTGTCAACATATTGCTGTTGTGTTTTGAATAGTGAGTGACAAGAACCAGAGAAAGGTTTACCAGCAAATCGAGTACTACAACAACACTTCTTGTGTTTGGATTCTTAATCAAGAATGGTTTAGGTGTTTATGCTACAAAGCACCCCGTTACCACCAGTTGATCTATCTACTTAAATGTTCTTCATTTCACGCAACTTCCTCATATAAAATCCTTTAAGAAATGTGACATTTTACGAATCTTTTCAAGAATTTGACATTTATTATCTATAATTATCAGCCTAGGCTGTATTGGAAGAAATGGCTTACATATTTAGCGTGACATTTTACATCTTTATATTTGGTGAGAATGCCGCATTGGCTCAGTGGGCGTAAGCGCGACTGCAGTTCATGAGGTGTCCCGTGTTCGAACGTCGGTCGATTCAAAATAAGTTATTGGGTTTTTCTGTCTAGAAATTCGCAATAACAGCTTGGAGTCAGGAAGTTGGCGGTGTTTCACCACAAGCACGTAATGATCCAGCCCTCACCGGTCGTATTGAATTGCCGTTCCATCAGAATATAAGAGTGAAGGAATAGAGAGTGCCTCGTGCACTATAATTCTGTCCTTTCGGAGATGGCTAGTCTCCGTTGATTGAAATTTTGTCTGAAGCTCATTGTTATGGTGTGCGTTCTAAAAAGACTAAAAATTAAAAATGTTAATCAAGCGTTAAATACGTAATTAATATACGTTACATTTACAAGTATAACTTGACACGGCTACAGTGATTGCAAGTTCTACGTTCAACAGGATGAAACTAATTGATTTAGCTATTTATAACTTAATTGGCACGTCACAAGAATGAGTAACTGCTTATAACACTGGCTGCACACTTGCTTCTATTATTGCTTATGCCGGTTACCCGGTTGCGGTACACTCGTACGATGTTCTTGTGAATAAATACTAGGATCCATGGTCTATTATTCTTAGATTCGATTTATTGGAATGGTTTCCTCACGATGGTTTCCTTTACCACCGAACACGTGTTAAATCAGCACTTCAAATTGCAATTAAAATGATGCACCTACAATTAAAAATGGTAAAATCAGATCATATTATTAGTGTTACTGATTAATGGCAGGAGAAGGAGTATGGAAATATTTTTTTATTGCATCTTTTTATTATAACTTTGCAAAATTAACAATTTTAAAAAACTCCAAATAAAAAGAGCTGATAATCTTGAAAACATAACTAAGAACACTCTCGATTAAGACACCTTTCAAATAAAAAAAAAAAACTTAAACAATATTGATTCATTCGTTCAGGAGCTATGATGCCACAGATGATATAGAAATACACACTACAAACTTATAACACCCGTCTGTTTTCGTCGGGGGTAAAAAGTAATAATATTGATATTTTTTGTTTTTGCTTTTTTATAGGACAGGGTGACAAACGAGCACACAGTCCACCTGATGGAAAGTGGTTGCTGTGGCCCATAGACATCAGCATCTATCCTCAAATACGAATCAAAAGGCAGATTTTTGTTACCGGTGGCGTTGTCACCCGTGAGGACTAAGATGGGATGCCTCGTTTTCAGCAAAAAGGGACCCCGGTTCTACATTAACCATACGGAACACAGCAGTGTTATGATGCTATTTTACGCTGGCATTCTGTGAGCACGCGTTTTCCCTTCCCGCGGTAGAACTAACCCATTCGTGCTACAACTATACTACTAATATAGCTGCAGCTTGGCTCTACCACGTAAAAATATCTAACTTTTTAGTTTAGGTGAAATATCTAACTTTTTGGGTAACTGCACAATATTAACTTCAATTCAATTATGTATGTAGCATAATATGTGTCGGGGCATTGGGGCATATTTATTCGGGGAAATTGGGAAAATATTAAATATTATATGTGTTCGTGGCAGATGGGCATAATAAAACATGGCAGTGGCGAATAAATGATTCGTCGCAATTATTTGGTGGCGATCGAGCCCTGGTTGCTCGCGTACTCTTTTGTTCGTCTTACTTTTGTAACTTTTGCACTACCATACAGAATTTTATTATGTTTTTGTAGCTAAGCGTAATTTTTAGTTTCAATATGCAAGAAATATACAAGAAATAATTTCTTTCTTTTAATAATTTATAAAATTTTAATAATTTGTAAAATGTAGTGCTTCTATAATTTAAGGACACAATATTAAAACACCTTGTAAATAAATGATTAAATATATGTATTCAATCCTATAATGTTACGGTTGTATTAAAAAAAAAAAGAAATGAAATATCGCTTATGAATACGCCTCCTGTTTGTATGTATCGAATATTCTTACAATGTTAATTGTTTAAAGCGAAAGCTTTACGATGAACCGCCGACGATTAAAGCGAAGTGGTTATCCGAGGTTCGACGTTTGAGTGAATTTAAAACGAAAAAGTCCTACCATAAATAATACTTACGCTCCGCCACCATGTTACGCCGTGCTATTGGCGTATAAATATGGCGGAATGCGGCGCAGATCGTAATTTTCGCTTTGTATTTCCACTACATCTTCAGCTGAAGTGTGTTGTTTTGAGCTTTAGTTATCTGTTTCGTCTCTTATATTATTTGTATAATGTGAAATTATTCAATGTGTTTATCATAATTTATTAAACCAAGGCCCAATGCTTTTTTTGGTTGTATACGCGACAGCTGATCTGGTTGTTACGGGTTCGAATCGGGTTAGGCCAAAATCAATTATTTTTCTGTCAAGAAATTATCAGTAGCGGTAGCCCGCAGTTAGAAAGTTGGTGGTTTTTCAGGTCTTTATGTAGGTTTTAGGTGTTAATGAGTTGTAGTGTCACCTACCATTAGTTGGAATAGTACGAGCGAGCTTATAATAAAGAAGATGGAAACGAAAAGTAATAAAAAATATTACTAATTAGCTAATTACTAGACACGAAATTATTATAAGAATTATTGTTATTATAAAATTAAATTAAATACAATAAATAAATATATTAAGTACGTCTAAGCATTCTCCTAAATCTATACTTATGATTTGTTGGATAGTCACACCATGCTTCGTCGCTATATATGGGTATATGTAGTCCGTTAGACTATGTACATAGTACGTTAGGCCATGGATTTTTAATTTATAATAAAATATATAATGATAATTCTCTAATAACACGTTATACTTTTCTACGTGGTAGAGCTACGCTTCAGCTATATTTTTTTATAGCATGTGGGTGATAAACGAGCACACAGTCAGGTGGATGCTAAGTGGATGCTATGGCCCATAGATATCTACATTTATCCTCGATTAAAAATAAAAATGTAGATGTGTTGCCAACCTTGAGGACTAAGATGAAATGCCTCGTTTCCAGTAAAAAGGGTCTCCGGATATATGGCTGCGGCACGATTGGGTTGGCTCGCGTGAAACAGAAAAATTATTCTGCTGTTTTTTTTTTTGGTGTACGTAGAGAACCGGGGACTGTTTTTACCAAAACAAAGTATTTCAACTTAGTCTTCAGGGCAGACAACGCATCTGCATTTTGAATTTTAATCCAAGATAGATGTAGATGTCTATGGGCCACAGATTCCAAGCATTAGGTGGACTGTGTGCTAACGTATAATCCTTATACGTCAATTTCTTTCCTTTTTACTGAAGTGTTAGGGTAAGGCGTGAAGGTTACATTTAGGATAAATAAATAAAATGACATAGCTGTTACAGCCTTCCTGTTATTAGGAATAGATTGCGTATAGAAGACAGAAGTCAGTGCAAGAAACGACCGCATTTCTCCGCGGCCACAATGTAACACAACCGAGACCGACTGTGACCCGGTCGCTCATTCATCATAACTATTGTTTTGTCTGTATTATTATCTTGGTAATTTGTATCGATACGATGTGCGACGTAAGTTTGCCGCGTTCCGTATCTTGTCTTTTCTCGCTTTCTTTATATGTATTTGCTAGGACGTATGGACGTTTTTCGATTGAGGAAGTGCCGACTGTGTGAATAACTTGTGCGAATTTCGTAACGGAATATGCAGGAGTTAAATTGCGAGCGATGTTATTGTTTTTTTTTTCTTTGCCAAGCGATTTTGTAAGTAAAGTCATTTTCTGCGAGTATTAAAACGAATGATATTACCCCGAAGAGTTTTGTATTGTAGAAGTTTTAGACAGTAAAAGTACGTTGTGTGTTAATGATCTTCGCTTGTTTTCGCAATATTTTTAATTTTTAAACATTAAGGGGATATAGTAAGTCAGCTCAAATTCTAATTTCGCCCCCACTTTCCCGTGCGTCGTATGCTATGTACCGACATGTTTGTAATCACTAATACTGTAAGTAGATAGGTCGTTAGATACTTATTTCATTAGGTTTATCATATTTATGCCTGTTTCTTAACGACAACCCAGCCGCTTCTTATTTTTATCACGGTTATTTCCCATTTTAAATTTACGTCGTCCTGTTGCGTAATGTGTATTCTGATCGTAAGCGACACACCTCTTCTCCCTTCAAAAGCCTAAGCGATACTAACGTGGCAACAAAATCACGAATCAAGCTTCAAGACGCCGAAAGTTTAGGTAATTTCTTTTTACAGTGAAAATAAT